AGATGTATGTGATTAATAGAATTTTCTTTTCTAGTTCCTTTTCTTTTATCGAAATTTTAGTTAAGTCTTTCGTCAACTGTTAGTATTGAAGCTGCATTATTTAATGAACGTATGCTTGCTTGGGAACCACTCATTGAACCAACAATAGATGCAAGTGGATCTATTCTTTCACCTTGGTGTATCACATGTTCAATTGTACCTGTAAGTCTTTCGAATGAATTATCTTCTATGATTATTATGCCTCACTAAAGAGTCCTACAACACACGCCCTAGACAGTTATATTTTAATATAAGTTTACTTTACACAAAGAACTTGACCTAATTAATAGATTCAAATTTTGATTATCGATATTCGTTTTAATTTGTAAGCAAGAGGATGAAAAAACAAAGCAGGTAAAAAGTCTCTATAATGTATGTTATCGTTGTATTTGGTGATAGATGCCAAACTAACACTAATTAATATATATCTAATCAACTAATTATTGAATAAAAATAAACTTGTTATATATTTAAGATATTGTCATTAATTGAAAAAAGTGGATCGGCAGTATCAAATGAACAAGAACGAAAAGAGGGTGTACCATCAATAAATTCTAAGCAAATTATATTCATACGTGCCGATCAATTACTTAATTTAACAATAACAAAAACAGGTTTTGATTTAGTACAACGTTTATCAGTTTTATTCAATGATGTTTATAATAAACGATTACCATTTACTGAAGATAATGATCAGCCAATGTTATCATTATTTAATGGAACTGGACGAGAAATATTCATTGATAATTTAGATGGTCTTGAAGTAAGTTTTTTAAAAATGAAGAAAAAAAACAATACATTCTTTTCATTGTTTTATTTTAAAGTTTGCTGAAAATATGACACTCACATCAAAAGCTTTAAAACTAGATGGTTTCGTTCCATTGGTTGTAGCAAATGATCGTCAATCAGCAGCTAGACTTTCTGTTATTGAAGAACAAGATTTTAAACGACGACAAGAATTTGACGTTAAAGTAAATAAAATTTTAAAAAAAATCTATACATATCTGGAATTCAAATAACTTGATAAAAATTACTAGTAGATACTTGCGAACAGAATCTTTAAATAATTAAAAGTATATATTTAATATTCTTTCTGCAAATATGATAGCGCTTCAAATTGTCTAATTCTACAAAGAATCGTCTATTCTATTATTCTTTGCAGCTGAAATAAGACTATTTTTCAGTATCTTGAATGTTGAAATCTTATATTTATTTAATTTTCTTAGATTGGAGATGTTGTTA